GCTGGCGCTCCACGCGGCCAACCGCCACCGCAGCCTTACCGTCCCTTCTATCTCTTGCACTAGCTACTGTGAGCGCTGTTGAAGCTCGTAGGGTCACCATTTAGGGTTGCGACGTCGTAGCCTCGCCGGAGCCGGCCGAGCCGTGGCCGAGCGCCGCCGTGGCCGTCACCACCCCCTCTTGCCGCGGTGATAGCCAAAATTGATGGCACCACTAGATGCGCATTGATGAGACGAGCACCGATGCACCGCTGACCTCGCCAGAGGAGCCACCGGCGATGAGCTACGTCGTCGTCTTCCTCCGTTCCCCTGTCTGTCTCGCTGTCGCGCGGGTCCCGTTTGTCAGCCGCTGAGGCCAAGGCGGGAGCCAGCGTGGGCTGCGCCGCGTTTTGGGCCGCGCCAGTGCGCGCTTCGCGGGCCGCCGTGTCCTTCGGGCCGGCCCAGCAGTAGAGTAGGGTTTCAAATTTATTTTTGGTTTATTCTTTTCACAGATTTGTGTATAGATTCAAAAATATGTATCTCCTAGTTGGTAGCTTCAAATGATGTGGTTCCAATTTTGCTAAGTTCATGATAATGTCTAGTTTATATTAAAAATATGATTTATGCCATGTTCTGTTATGAAAATGGGAGTTTCTATTTATCTCTTTTAATCATGGAGGAATTAGGGATAATTATATCTTTTTCTATGTAGCTCCAAATGGCATGAAATTTTTATGGTGTACTGCTCATATCATGAATAGCTTGTAGTTAAATTTTCATATATTTTGGACACTGTATGTAGGAGATATAAAATTCTCTTGTTTGCATGGATGGATCTTGTGTGAATTTTCATAATTTTTCTATAGATCCAGTAAAGGTAAAATTTGGTGAGTGCTATTCTTATGCTAGAATGATGCTAGAAAAAATGTGAAATCTGTTGCTTGACACTTTTCATTAGGGTTTCCTAATTATGCTATAAATAGATATGCCACCTGTTATTTTGGATACAGCAAGTTCTGCTTGCCCAATGGCTTTAAAATTTTTATGGTAGTCTATGTGAAGCATGAGATAGCTACTGTAATTTTTGTAGATTTTTCTGAATAGTTTTACTATATATTGCTTTAATCACCTAATTAACTAAAGAAATTAGAAAAGGGCATTAAATAAATTGTTTAGGAGTTGGCACTAGACTTTCTGATGTTTCTTTGATATGCAAAATATGTTGGTAAACTTGGTTTGGTCCAATTATGCTTTTGTATTATCATTAAATAATTAATTTAGTAACCCTATCATTTCTGGACAGATTCTAGGTTTACTGGAATTCGATTTGGTTAACGTAAGAATCATGCTTTGATGTTTACAAATGATTTGTAGAGAATTTCATAAGCTTTCCAGAATGTCCTCATGCAAGTTATTTGGATTTGTAGAACTCTTGTTGTGATTGAATTAAGGAACTACCCGTGTGCATATGAAACTTTAACTGTTGTTTAAAGTATGCCTTTACTATTTCTAAGTTGCGGTAATGTTCCTAGGTGTTAGGCCTTTAACTGAAGATGAACATCTTTATCTTAGGCTATGCAAGTTAGGGAAGTTGATCTTGTTCTTCAAGTTAAGTTAGATACCTGTTTTAAAGTGATTTGAATAGAGATATTCTTAATCGGTAAACGAGTGTCCAGTGATGTTTTTGTTAAACACTTATTGTGATTCATTCATCATGAGCATCATGTCATTCCTTATGCATCCATGATATTTATCTTGTGCATCGGCATGCAATAGGTGTACCGGAAGGAGTGACCCTGCTGGAATTCGAAGAACCGAGCGAGCAGCAGCAGCCGTCACCGGAGGTTCAGGAGGTGCAGCCTTCAGGAGAAGTGCCAGACGAGGTCGCCGTTGAGTGCCCGGATCACCGTCCGTGCAACTTTATCAAAGGCAAGCCCCGGAGCATATTAAGCCTCCTAATTTTTGAAATGCAGTTACAATATTATTGTTACATATATGTATTGTTGCATTAAGTTTTGGTGTTGGATGCAAACACTTGCTGCATTAGTTATCCAATCCTTGTCTAGATATTGATACCCTGAATCCTATGTAGCTCAGGCCCGTGTAGTGCTTAGCCCTGCTTAAACACGGTAGAAGTCAGGTGATTTCCTGTCACCTACGAGATATAGGAAGATACATATGGCACGATTGGCTATATTTGCTATCGTGGAAAAGAACCAGTCTTAATGTGAAATGAAGGCCCGACGGAGGCTTTCCAGTTCGCAGTGACTCCGTCTGTGTCGATTAAGGACTGAATCTTGGAGCCTTTCTTGTTCATGTTGAACGTATGCCTCTCTCTTAGTTGGCTGGGTCTGGAGACCGACCACGAAGCCGAGTAGCTCACCTCAGGCCGGGAGTCGATAAGTATAAAGTGCGCCTCAGAAGGGAGCCGTAGGCGTGAGTCCAAGGGCAGGTGATTTAAAAGTCCTGATCGTCCTGGCAGAAGGGTAATCTCTGAGAGTGCTGGCGCTGATCGAACCCGCGAATTTGGTTCCTGAGTTGTTCCAAAGGTGACCCACGGCTACCCTTGCTAAGTATGCCAGGGTGAGAGTTAGGAATACCCCCTCAGCTGAGTTATAATTCGATTCGAGTCGCCGTCTCTCCCGGTTAGTGAGAATTTGACGGGCTTACCTCCAATGTAGATACACTAAATAACATAATGGTTCAGAAATGATGATATGATGATGACAGCCTTATTATACCTGCTATGATTAATATTGTTTGCTCCTAATAAGTGAGTGTTCTAGTACAGGTGCTAATCTAGTGGACAGGTAAATGATGATAAGCTTGATGCTAAGTTTAAATTGGTCACTATATTCATAAGCTCTTTTATGCAACTGTGTCAAGCTAGCCCACCTCATAAGCCTTGCATGATCCTTGGTGTCTTTTATTTCTAGTTTTGACGGGTAAGTCTAGCTGAGTACCTTCTCGTACTTAGGGTTTATCTCCCACTTGTTGCAGATGACCAGTTCTACTTTGGTTGCTGCAAGTATTGCATTCTCCCGGTTAGGGATGAAGACTAGACCGTTGGGCGCGGTCTCTACTAGTTCTCGTACCTGATGATGCTTTTGTGGGACATGACTCAGACTTGGCAATGTATTTGAAACTATGAAGTTATGTACTAAACTATGTTGCTTCCGTAAATTTGAACTTGGTTTGTAATATTTTATTTTGAACTCTGATGGATGTGATCCGAATGCTACTTGTGAAATGTTGTAACGAATGATGTGTTGTGTTGAATCACTACGGTCTTGGTTTATATGTCGAGAGTTGGTTGAAATCCTTCGTGATTTCCGGACTACCGGGATTATGGGAGCTTAAGTACAGAAATTTGATCGCTTCGGTGATTGTTTTTGTACTTACGTTCTTATGATTTTGTCGGTTCTGTTACAGCTGGCATCAGAGCAAGATTCGACACTAAACATGTCATTTGTGTATTTAAAACAAAAGTATTTTTAAAAATCATAAATTAAATACTAAGTATTGCCAGTGGTCATATCCCTTATGCCCAAATAAGGACTCTTAGGTGGCTTATTAAAGTATTAACTTGGGGGTTCCTGCTTGTTTCTGTTTCGTCGTCCATACGGCGTGCTATTGTATGGATGTCACCCGCTTGGGTGGTAATGTATGGATCAAAATACCTCTACGCTCTAATAAGTGAGAGTTGTGAGAGCATGACCGTCCAACCGTCGGTCTAGGGGAGAGTAGTTGTGGTTGCTCGCATACTTACATGTTCAATCATGTATCTATGAGAGTACTTAAATATGGGTATCTCTGTCGGGTAGCTGTGATACTAGAGTATGTACATCGGGGGATGTATGTATGAAAGTATCAAGCTGCAATGCAGTTGGATATATTGATAGATATGTTTTGGGGGATTAATCATCTCTATACACAGCCACTCCGGATCTGATCAAAAGTACAAAAGAATTCGTAGTACCTGTAATTGATTTTTTTTCCTCAATCACAATGCAATTACTGCTCCATTTCAAGGGAACTTGCTTCCACTTGTGGGTTTTTAGGAAATGCAATGTGGTCAAGAAAATTTCTAATATGCACACTCACCTGGAGAGAATAAAGCACTCGCTTCTGTTGGGCTTTCCAGTCCTTGTGCATGGAATTCTCATGCACTTCACTAAGGATGCTTATCCATGATATGTTGAGACATGGACTCAAATTTACAATCCTTGGACTCAGTTTTTGCATGAATTGCTCCATTCTTGTATCTGTCCCAATCAACAAGATGGTACAACTTCAACCATGTCTGTTTTATAGGCAGTGAGGCACGAATTGTTCTTCCAGCTTTCTGTATACTGGTATAGTTCATGCCTACAATGTAGGCACAGAACTTTAGGACTTGGATGGTTTCATCAAAAGATACAAAAATTGGAATGTTATTTTGTTCCCCTGGTTATGTAATGAACAATACAAGTAACTGTATGCTACCTCTTTTGATTTCAGTTATATCTCTCTCTCGGATTTATCTCATTCCATGGCAACAATCCGTAAACAAATTTGAATTACCGTAGTCTTATTTTTGTTCCTGCTGCAACGCATGGATATAAACCTAGTACTGGATATAATTGCTAGCTTATACATTGACGAACAATGCATGAACAATAGTGATAAATATTTTAAATTTTGGACACATAACAATACTCACCTTTTTTTTCGTCGTAATGTTCAATGAATTAGTGTTCGAACAGCTGCCATATATTACTGTCTCCGTACTAATCTTGAAAGGTTTGAGCTCTTGTGCCTTTAAATGCAGAAGACTAAAATAGACAATTTAATCAGATGGAAGCATATGGAAAACATCATTACCCCTTAAAACAGATGTTACAGAAAACTTAGTAGACATGGTAGTATAACTTAGCACACACGGAAGCAAAAGTACATGGAACAGCAAAGCCTAACTTATTGCATTCGAGAGATTTGGCGAGTTCAGATCATCTCATTCAAGGTCTGGGGTTTCCCTAAGCAAACTACTCTACTATGACATCTTTGACAGCACTGCATGCTTCACTCGCTTCGATTAGCTTCAACAAGTTATAATCGCATTCACGAAGAAATGGATCGCCCCCGTCGGCGAGTAGACCTAATTGATATGGCACATGCCACTCATCGAAGTGTGAGACGTCTTCGCCTTTTGAAAGAAGTAATTTGGCCTCTCTTCTTTTCTGAAGGTGAATGGCTGCTTCCTCTGGATCTTCAGGAACGTAAGTGTTCCAGTCGTGCACATACTCTGCACGACATTTGAATATTTTGAACCGGCGAGCCATCTGGGCATGGTCGCGTTGCTTCTTGAAAACCTTGCACCAGCGCTCATATAAGGCCCATACAGCTTCATCCGACTCCATGTCCTTGTTTGTCGGAGTTTTAGCATGATCTATGACAGTTTTATGAGAATTAGTAGTGTCAAGAACGCACAGCGACTAGCATGCAATTTGGCTTCTCGCGCGAGCACAAATAATTTATGAGATGGATGGATTCGTAGCCCTCCCTATCTAACGAATACTGGACCCCTGCACCAGGAAGAGGGTGGGATCGGTTTACCTGGCAAGTGCGGGTAATCGGCGATGGAAGGGAAGGGGCCGGGAGGCCTCGTGGTCGTGGAGACATCGCCGCCGCGAGCAGGGCAGCTCTTGAGGGGACATAAGACTGATACACCCTTGGCCGCGGCGGGTCACCGGCGACGTGAGCGAACAGCAATTTGACGGAACCCTGGCGCCGGCGAGGCAAACCCCTCCGCCTTGGTGTTGTGTTTTCCGTTCTATTGATCGATAATCCCCAATCCCTACAGAGTCTGCACTTATGTGTCTCATACAGGTTCTGGCCGGTGGCCCTCACATGTCATACATGAATGGAAAACGTAAATAAGCTAATGCGCTAAGCTGTGAATGTTGACGTCTTTCTACTCCTGTGTCACTCCTTATGGTGCAGGTCCAGGCGTGACAAAGACCCCTGAGCCTAAGCTGGCGGCTGCGGCTACGCCGGCCGCACGCGCTGAGCGGGATGCCATCGCAGCGGCGCGAGATGCAGCTGCCGCAGCGGCGCGAGACGCGAGCGACGCTTTACAGACAGCCCGCAGGAGAGTCGCCATTGTCGCCATGGCGGCGAGAGATAAAGCGGGTGCTTTGGTTGCTGCAGATCTGAGGATAAGAAAAGGGATTAGCTCGGTTATTTGTATTGTATCCTCCGCAGTTTTATCAAAATCCGTCTACAATTATGTAGGGATCTAGGAGTGGGTTGGTGTAAAACGGTAGAGCCGACAGCCGAGGCTGGCCTAGCCCAGCGTATTTGGGCCCAAAGCCCAATGGCAATATTTCCCCCTTCTTTCAATTATAAACAGCATCGAAGTTGTCTCATCTCATCTGTAACAGGAAATACAATAAAAACTAAAACGGAATTTCATATAAACGTCAATTATTTGCAAAATAACATCCCTATCCAGACCTGATATCCGCCTTCACGTCCCAGGACCAACAAGTCCGGGAGCGTCGCGTAGTTCCTGGTCCTGCCTGTGCTAGTGTGACGCGCGAGAAGCGGTGAGAACGTGACCGTGTGGCTAGCGTTGACACTGCCTGTTTCAATTTGCACACGAAACTATAGCTACTACACAATGTTTCAGCCAACCATTAGACCATAAGGTGGGTCCTATATGAGATAAAAAAAATTCTCTTTACAATCCTGTGCAAAACCAAGAAAGAGAGAGAGAAACGAGAAAAAGTAATATTTTTTATTTTTTATAAGTAGTCCATAAACTTATGGGTACCTATGGATTACCTTATAAACTAGTCTCACAATGTTCCAGCTTAGCAAATATTTTATGCACTAACTTATGGCAAACATTGTGGTCATCGCAGGTTCCAACAACATATGCCATTATGCTCAAAACAGCTTTTTTGGTCGGAGGCTGACTCAAGAGCAAGGTTTAGTTGCAAAGACCAACCCAATATGACAAACAATATAACTGGTGACAAAAACAGATGGAATCCAAGTATAATGAAGTGCAGAGCTCAAACTAGCTCAACCGGTCACTTGGATGATATCAAATTCATAAGTCTGCATCAAGACATGGTAATGGAGCCACTGAGCCATAGCTACAAAAACTCTGGTTTCACATAGAACTAGGACACAGATGCCTAATACAGTAATTTAGATGATGCCGATTTTGTTGGCCACATCAAGAGCATCATAGTCGGGCGTCAGCTTCACGTAAGCTTTCTTCTTACCATCAGGCCTGCACAAAAACAACAAGAATATCTCAAAATGTTGCACAGCATAAACGAATATGCAGGAAAATTAAAACTGGAGCGAGTGCTAACCTGATCAGGGTGTTGACCTTCTTTGCCTGAATGTCATACATCTTCTTGACAGCAGCCTTGATCTTCTTCTTGTCTGCCTTGAGGTCAACAATGAAGACCAGTGTGTTGTTATCTTCAATCTTCTTCATCGCTGATTCTGTTGTGAGGGGGTACTTGAGGATTTGGTACTGATCAAGCTTGTTCCTTCCAGTAGTGCTGATTCTTGGGTACTTCGGGTCCCTAGCCTTCTTCAGGGTCTTGGGGCGGTGAAATGTAACGGACGTGCGGATCTTCTTGGTCTTCTTCTTGACAGATCCCGACTTCACAGCCTTGGCAACCTTCAAGGCCTGGGTCTTGGCATCACCCTTCTTGGCGGGAGCAGCTAATCAAACCACACAGTTAGATAAAATAGTCAGGTCATGCATACAGTACAGTAAGCCTATCAAATAGAAATAGAAAAGCTGCTAATTCTATACAGTACAGTCATGCATACAGGTTCATGAATTTCAGCATGGCGATTGTGCGCAAAAATAGAAAAGCTTTGTGCACAGTAATGATTCACATGTTCTGGACAAGGCATGAGTAAAATAAACAGGTAGTCGTTAAATCTGAGTGCTAAATGACTGAATACACACTAATACATACAATTCAGCAATGGCAACACACAAGCAAACAAAACAGGAAATGAATGACTCTGAGAACTCAGCTTATAGCAATTTCAAGGTTGACACAGGGCATTTCTTGATAAAATATATGGCACCTACAGAAATATGCAATGTTAGGTGTGTACCTTTAGGAGCCATTTCAGCCTCTTGAAACTCTCTCCTGACCTGGAAACAGAGAAAGAAAGACCATTATGTCAGATGGGTATAGAAGCAAAGGAGAAGACAATCATGAAAAGTGTAGTGAACCATAGAAGGATTTTGTCATCTACATGAATTGCTACTGATTAGCAACAGTTCTCAGTTTAGCGTTAACCGAAAGCCCAGTTCTCAGTCTAGCATTAACTGAAAGTTAGCACCAAAAACAGAATCATAGAAACACCATTACTAAATCAACATCATGCCCAAATCAACCATGGCAAGAATATTAGAAACATAGACAGCATCACTACATATCATTACACCGATGGGATCAGCGTACTAAGCTCAAAGAGACTGCTCACATAACCCTCTCACGATTAATAACAGCAAAAGCTACCTAAACGAGCAGATACACTAATGATGCGTTTGGATGGACGGACCGACCCATGAGGAATGATCCGAACCTAGCTCCCAACCTAGCCCCTTTGTTTGGTTTACATCATGGACTCAACCGGTGCGTCACGAAGCCAATCTTCTTGGTATTATCCGCAAGCGCATTTCGAAGGACCGGTTGGTTCCGCAAAAAACGTCGGACGACGCCATTCTCCGGGGCATGGACCCATGATGAATCAACTGATTCCGAATGCAATCATACTTCAATCCAAACAGGCTGTAAATCTACAAGGCGAAGAGACCTTGACTCGCGAGCTACACCTCGCGAGACAACTCCCGCCGAAAGACCTCTCGATAACAAGTGCGTACAGAGCAGATCCGGGCTCTTCCACGAACCGACCGAGCCGGCTACCCAACAAACAAGTGCATCCGATACGGAAGGCTAAGAGCACGACTGCCGGACCGGGGAGAGATTGGGGCGGGAGGAGGAGGGCGGCGGCGGCGGGGCGGGGCGGCTTACCTTACCTCTCCTGGCGGCGGGCTGAGGCGGACGCGAAGCGATGACGGCTGGGAGGAAACCCTAGCCCCCGACCAGAGGTTTTATAGAATGGACCCGAGTGACTCACTCCCATGGGATAGGTGGGCCTAGTGGGCTGAACGAGGAATGCGCTCCGGATCGTGGTACCGTTTGCTGGATGGGCTGTATATGGACCGGCCCACTTAGATTTGAAACGGGCGAACGGTCGCATCGGTTCGGTTGCGCGCCCGCGGGCACTTTGAGGATAGCAAGGGCGCGGCATGTCGTCCTCTGCCATCTGGGGTTCAACGAGCGAGGACGGCGGTAAACGCAGCCTCACTTTCCTGGAGATTTGAGACAGACAGCTCAGGTGGCTGGAGATCAGACCCGGCGAAGCGCAGATTTAGCATTGTGTACGAAAACCCACTGACCCAGCACAGCTATGAAGATGAAGTCGGAGCAAATACATACGCAAGCTTAAATCCAGGCATGAAAGATCAAAGACACACAAAATGAATATAGAAGTTCTGATCGCAATATCCATTCAAAAAACAGTACTAGGACATTAAGCATCCTCCAGACCGTAGAAAACATGAATATTGCTGTGATAACCTAAACATATGGCTCACAGGCAAAAACTCCATCGTCAGTGCCTAGAACGACAAGCTACTCTCATAGGAAATCATCCTACGCAAAACGAAATCAAGTTCATCTTGTCCTGATAAAACGAATCCAAACTCTGTGGGGGATAAGATGCACCACATGAAAGAACCAGGGTAAGCAAGTTCATCTTTTCCTGACAAAACGAACTCAAAGCTCTGAACTCTTGGAGGTCTTGGAGCTCTCGGGGCTTTTGGTCTTGGGTGCGCCTGGGAAGCTGGGGGTGGACGGGGCGGAAGTACTGGTGGCCGCCCGGATTGCTGGGGCTGGGGGCACTCGGGCGGCAGCAGTTCGGTCCGCAGCAGCTCGTTCCGCAGCAGCTTGTTCCGCAGCAGCTTGGGCGGCAGCAGCTTGTTCCGCAGCAGCTCGTTCCGCAGCAGCTTGGGCGGCAGCAGCTTGGTTGATCGGCCGTGGCAGTGCGTTGCGGCCCCTAACTTGGCAAGAGCCTGGCGTCTTGAACCGAACCAGTACGACAGTCATGTTGTCCCTCCCTCTAGGTTGTGCCAGGCAGTGTCCAAGGAGGGCCTCGCAGATGAACGCCAGCCCTACGTCCTGGACAACAACATTTGTTAGGGGGCAATAGTGACAAAAGATGAACAAGATGCAAACCATGTATACTATCTGAGTGTAGACTGTAAATGCCGATCAGTCAGGTGGTAGCCAAAAAAAAAGGCAAGCAGTCAAGCACACAACTATCCATGCAGATAAAAATTCTTTAATAAATTTTGACTACTACACAGATGGGATAATATTTTGCATGTATTGTATATTTCTCAATGAATAAGCGTATCGTGCATCCAAACCTTTTTAAAGGATCTAATAGCAAAAATCTTCCCGTACAGTGCATCATTTTCAAACGAGCAGATATGCTCAAGGGGGAAGAATACTCACAGCATTTAAGTATATCCTTATAAAATCAACTGCTTGCTGGCTTGTTAAGCAATCCCTACAAACAAGGACATGGAAGAGCTGTGTGAATTTTAGGGCAGACAACATAAAAATCATTTACATCAGCGAGTACTACTCAGGTTGTCCAGAATCCTTGTCACAACATCACCATTATGTTTCATTAAGTACTGATGTTATCCAGAGTTCCAGACCTTTGGTAAAATTCGTGTTCTTAAAAGTTCTTCCAAAATAAACCAAACAAATCTCATGATAATTTTCAGCAGATTAACTTGAAGAACTTATTATATCCAGAAATTCAAGAAACCATACAAAATAGCATTGGTGGTGCAGTGGCCCAGTCCAAAGCAAATAAAACTTAACTGAACTAAAACCTACAAACCCCGCCCCTTGTGGACAATTTGAACACTAATATAAAGAACTTGGAAGAGACAAATGTGTGGAAGATAACTATCATTTTAACTTGATGTATTTTTCATGGAATCAAGGACATCTCGAAGCAAACAAAATAAAACAGGACGTAAAA